CTATAAAAGATACATTTACAACATACGTTGGTCATGGTAAATGTGTAGATAAAAGCAAGTATTACTTATTAAATAGTTTAATTAGTATAGTATAGTCATATCATTATGCAATTTACCTGCCAGAAATTAATTTTTTACATTAAGTTGTATTTTGTTTTAAAAAAACTGTAATATACCTTTTATAAGTAGGTAGTAGGTACTACAAAGTATACATGTAGGTTAGTTATATTGTACTATTGTCTATTCAAATATAAAAGAAATATACAATGAAGCCCTTTTAAAAAATATAGGTGCGTTGGTCATGGTAAATATGTAGATAATAAAATCAAGTATTAATTATTATTATTGTTATTTATTAAATAGTTTAATTAGTATAGTATAGTCATAATAATAAACTGCATAATTAAATACATAATTAAATATATATACATGTAAATACTACCTATTAAATAAGTTAGCGAATAAGTCTTGGACGGGGAAGTCCATGATAATAAACTCGAATTTTGAAAAAAAATCGGAGCAAATTCGTTAAATATGATAAGACGGAACCGATGCGAAGAGACGAAAAAAAAATTTCGAACTTTCACGGCCGCCGCAAACTATCGACTCGCCGGGGGACGGGTTCGAACTCGGGACCCCGAGTTATTTGTCCTATGCCTAAACCTACCTAACCGCCTATCGAAATGACAACCGGAGTCAAATCTACGACTCTTAAGCCGCGTCGCCGTCCACCCGAAACGGCGTCTGCGTCCCCCGAAGGGCGTCCGAGCGGGGGGATCGACCGCGTGGGGAAGCGGACGACCGTCTCGACCGGCTTCGGACGTTCAAATCGGTGAGATTCGCGAAAAAAATTGAACTTAAAAAGTATTTATGCCTGTATATAGCGATACCTATAATGTACCTACTCTCGTTTCCGCGTCACCGCTCGTCCCCGGGACTCGTTTTTGAAACGACTATAAATTTAGCGGGGAACGCGAATACGTATTCGGCGGGGAGGACATCAGCTGTGAGGTAATATAATTAAAAAGTTAATAAATTTACTCAAAAAAGGAAACATTAAATTACCATTACCATCATTCAAATATACATATACCACAACTTTCCAAAATTCAAGTAGCTCTAGGTCATAATTCAAATCAGTATTTCTTAATTGGCACCATTCCCGATCTATATCATTTAAGTTTATACCTAATGAATTTTCAAAATACTGAGCAGCTGGTCCAACAGAATTTATAGTTTTTACATTTTGTGGATTTAAAAAAGATAAAGCTTTAAGGCATTTTAAATGGTTAGAATTAAAAGGAAACCTTTTATATAACTGATTTGCACATTCTATGTAAAAATTTAAACAATTATTTATAAATGTGTTTTTTTCACAATTTGAAAGTTTACAATCGTTGGAATTAGACATATAAGCCATTTTCCATTTTCCATTTTCCCCCTAAATAAATATTTTCTTTTTCCAAAAAATAGGTAAGGTTTCGATACTGTATTTTATCTACATCCGTGTTATTTAAATACTCTGGTTTAATATAAAACTCTAAAATTGTTTTATATGCCATGGACATTTTTGAGTATAATAAATGAATTTGTGGTTTTTCACTTCGGAATGATAAATTAAATGAATTTAAAATCGGTAAACTATAATCCAAAAAGTTTAAATATAACTCAAAATGAGGATTCTTTAATCCTTCAAAAATACTTTTAGCCTTTTGGTCAATTAAATATTCTGCTTGGAAATATAATTTTAATAGTGCCAGTTGTTCCAATATTCTTTTTATAGTCGAATGTAATGAAAACCATCTAGTTTGGCATGGTTTTAATAACTTATGTTTCTTTGTATCAACAAAATATTGAAACTCTTTGAACATGGTCTGTCTTTTAAAACTATATTGAAAATATGTATAAATTTCTCTTACCAATATTTCAATATTATCTGGAATTTTTTTTGTAGCGTAAGATGCAACCAATGCAATAGAATGGCAGATGCATTTTATGCTGTATAAATTTGGAATTTCACTTTCTAACAACGTTTTTACAGAATGATGAATCCCAAACATAGCACTTGCTCCATCTGCCGCGAATCCAATCAAATTGTTTTTGTATGGTACTGAGTTATCTTCAAAAAACTTCTCGATTGTTTTGTGTATTCCAAGTGCACTTGCATCAGATACTTTAATGAGACTTAAAAATTCATATCTGACCATCTGACTATTGGAATAATCTAACATGCGAATGACCATGGCTAAATGTTTTACACTTGAATGGTCAGTAGACTCGTCGATAATCAACGAAAAATGACTATTCTTCATCTGTCAATGTTAGTGTTAAACCCTGATGACCCTAAAACATTGTTGACTATGGCTGTGGCCTTAGTTCGATTACAAGTTATTTTTTTCACAACTTCAGGATCAGCGCCTACAGATTTGATCAGTTGAACCAAGTGGTCAGTGGTGTTGAAGGATATGTTATGTTCAGATATGAACATGCATATCTTTAATTCAGCTGTTTTAGCCTTTTCATCAACAACGGCTGCTTTCGCAAATGCTGAGTTCATTTCGTTAATTGGCCAAACATTTTGAGCAGCTTTGGCCACACGTAGATGTTTTTTGGAAGACATGTGTTTCTTCACGGCTGAAATACCTCCTTTATTGTCGTCTCCATATAATTTAAAATGATAATAATGTTCGCCCCGTTTACTTGGTTCAAGCCAAGAGCGAAATTCTTTTTTACTTAACCAATCATTGCAAAATGTATGGCTGTATGATTTTTTTGGAAAAATTTGGATCGTTTGGTCGGTGTCTCATAAGTACTATCTGAGTCTTCTGAATCCATAATTACATCTAAATAAGAAATATATATTCTACACACAAAACCATTGATCGTAATTGATATAGTATCACAAAGTTGTGATCATACCTATTTATTTAGTCATATCTACAACCATTTTTAAAATCAAATTATTAACAATTATGAATAAATTCAAGTTTGCTCAAATTTCCTCAAATTTCCCCAGATTTTTATTTTCCCCAACGTTTTCCTCAGACCCATAAAATATCCCCAGATTGAGGAAATTTCCCCAAACCTGGCAACACTGCGCAGCCGGGTGGCCTGCCTACGGAGCAATGCATTTGCCGTGATAAGGGAGACGCCGTTTAACTGGTTTTTACGCCCGAACAGTTTATATGTGACTTATGTGCATTCAATATTGAACAAGTGTATGAAATCTAGCCAAGGACAGTTTATATTATACTATAAATTATATAATATATATTCAACATTTCAAAATGTAAGTACAATATATGTAAATAATACAGTCTGTTATAAATTATATATAGGGTGTTACATATATATATATATTTATATATCTGTTATAGATAAACAACAGTCTACTGCACATTATATATTATATATACCTACCTATATTATCTTATATTATATACATTAATAGATATACCTATTTAACATAACAATCGTTAACATATCTCGATACATAGCATATTTATAGGTATTGTTGCATCCCAACAGCGAGGAACTCCGATAGGCAAGTGTATTATTTAAATTATAACAAATAACACACAGATTTATTAGTTCGAACAAAACTCAATTCAAACGTATATTATCAGAATAGTTATTATAAATAAATATATGACAATAAAACTTGCTATTAAAAACATTGATAATTTATGTGGTAATGATTTTTTAATATCGACAAAAACAATATATATATAGATTAATTACAGACACGAGAGCCGAACCAGCACTTCTAAAATATAACGCTTACACAAAGTGGCTGCTGGTTTCAGACTGCCGTTCGACACGCTCTCGTCTATCTGCAATGCCCGGCGAGCAAAACATAGACCGGAAGGTTTTATCATAGTGGTCTATGGATACCCAGTCACACACGCTTCCGTGTGCTAAACATAATATAACGAAAAATAATAATTTTAACTGGGTCACCGTTGGTCCACAACACTTCCCCTGTAAAACAAGGGATCATCCCATAAGATGAAACCTCCCAATCCACTTACAAATTGGCCCAGTTATAATTGTTAGTAAAATAAATATACAATAATTAATAGGAACTGATATAACATAATATATTATCAGTTCTATCTTAATATTATTACATTATATAAATTGTTTTTATTATATTATATTAAATATTGACAGACATACGTATAATTATAAATATGTGGTTAGTTACATTACAATAAATCGTCGAATTAATATCGTTATAACCGAGTGATAAATGATAAACAATACACGTCGAGTGTACTAGGTTAAGGTCAAGTTCAAGGTACGTCCTCATGACCCAATTATTTTATTTTATTAATTATAGTGTATTATAGTCCGCGCCACGAGAGAACGCATACGGCTCGCGCATTCAAATGATTGCGTTCGAATGTCTCGAGGCCAAATCTCCCCACCATGCGACAACTGGTCTCTGCATACAGCGGCTCAAGTAATACAATAGCAACACGCACCGTGTCGTAATAATTGTGCGTAATAATTTACGCATAAATTATTATTATTTTTTAGTTTTTTACCTGTAGTAAATCAAGACCTATTTTATGGAATATTCTCCGATCAAAATCGCAAAAAATTAAAAATTAAAAATTAATCATTTATTGTCAGTGCATAATATAAAAAAAAAAAAAATTAAAAAATACAAAAATTACAAATTAATCATTCATTGTCAGTGCATAATATAAAAAAAAAAAATTAAAAAATACAAAAATTACAAATTAATCATTCATTGTCAGTGCATAATATAAAAATACAAAAAATTAAAAAATACAAAAATTACAAATTAATCATTCATTGTCAGGGCATAATATAAAAATACAAAAAATTAAAAAATACAAAAATTACAAATTAATCATTTATTGAATTGGAGTCGGAAAATGAATCACTCGTGTCACCCGTAATTGTAAGGACGTGTGATGTCACTTCAGCATCTAACAATTCGTTGGATATAAAATCTACCTGCCAGAATTTTTCTTCCACCTTAATGATATGGTCAACAAAGTTCTTCCACATATCTGGCGTAACCCGTTCGACTCCTTCTTCTAATAATTTCTTAACGTCATTCATTTTAAAAGTGCTGTTGTTCATTTTGACGTAATTTTTCACTGATGCCCATGCCAGTTCTATGGGATTTAATTCACAGTGATACGGGGGTAGCCGTAACACTGTTTTATCTGCAGATTTCGCCAATTCATCTATTACATATTCGTTAAATTGTGGTTTTAAAATTTGCACCCGTTCCAACAGTTGTTCCTTGACCATTGTTTGATCTGTTACCTCACCTTTATCTGTCAACCAATCAATGATGTCTTGTTTTTTCCAAGATCTTACCGGAAACGTGTGCTTATTCACGGAATGATACGACGCGTTGTCCATCACTATAACTGCATTCTCACGAAGTAGCGGTAAAATGTTAGCGAACCAGTCATAAAAGGTATCACCGTTCATCTCATCGTGGTAATTGCCTGTATTTTTTTTGGATTCAAAACATAATAGTCCACCAACAACAAAGCCGTCAGATGAACCTATGTGTACCACGATGAGACGTTTTCCTTTACCGGACGGTTCCTTTTGTCCCGTCGTTAGTCCTCTAACAAATGCGTCCCGTGGTGAATTAACAGTTTTATCGACCCATGTTTTCGAAGTGGTTTCACCAGCATTCACCCATGTCTCATCCAGATAATAGATGGGTCTACCTAACTGACGGTATTCTTTTATAGCCTGCAAGTACCTTCGACGCCAACATACAATATCGATTCTCTCGATAAGAGCGCTATTACGAGATTTTCGAACATACTCAAAATTAAGATGTTTTAAAAGTCTACGTAATGATGTTTCTGAAAAATTTGGTAATGTTGTATCTTTGTTGACTGCAGTTAAAATTTTCTTTAGAGTTGGAATTTCTCGCCTGTGCCAAAACTCGTGGACTTTTTTCCGAATGGCATCTTGATCAAAATCATCAACTTTTTCCGTAACAGTTGGTCGAACTTTGGTTTTGTTAGGTGATGATACACTGCCTTTATTTCGGTATTCCGATAGAGTAACACTCACTGTCCTTTGCCCTACGCCACTCTCTTCTGATATAATCTTGATTATCTCCTTCGCTTTTAATTTTGGGCCGTCTGCATTTTTTTGCTGCGCCATTTTAGCCTTGTAGAGGTTTACAATCATCAATTTCTGACGAGAACCAATAAACTAAAAATAATAATTTATTGAACATTAAAAAAAACGCATTGAAAATAAATAAAAAGTAAATATTTTCATATAATATATTCGAATAACTAATTCTAATGATTAAGATTCTTATTATAATTATTACCAGGACTAGGATATGTTAGAGTAAAGGATACTTTAGAGTATCCTTCAGTAATGAAAAATGTTATAATACGGTAAATAGCCACAGAATTAAATACAGGATCGATGTGGTTACTGTAATCTTGGCTATCACAATATGCACATGATAGACCTTGAATGATAGAGTCATATGGACAAGTATTTAACTCCTGGGCCTCCACACGAGAATACTCAGTGAGGCCCAGTATTCTTGTCTTGAGAAATAAATTAATAATAATAATAATTTGTTAAAATTATAGACTCGCCATTTAATTTTGTCGTTTTTGTTTTATTCTCAAAATTTCCATTTTTAATTAATGCTATTTCAAATTTTTTGGTATGTTCAATATGCATTATCTCGGGATTTGGTGCTGCATAATAAGATGTTCTCTTTTTTTTTCTCAGCCAACCCTTTCCAGTTTTCATTGACTATTAAAGGAGCGATAAACTCCAAGTCAATGGGTTCAACATTTTCATATTTTTCTTCTGAAAATTGTTCCGATAATACTACTGTTTTTTTTTAAATAGTGAATCGTCGTCAGTATTTGTTTCAGTTATTTTTATTTCAATCTCATCGGGAACTTCTAATTTTGTTGTAAATATTTGATCATGTTTTGCTATTTTTAACATTCCATATATTTCATTGATGTGCTTACAGAAAAATTTATCAACACGTTGTGGCAGATTGTCGTTATGGAAAGATCTATTTTTTAAATCGTTGAAGTAACTTTCTACAGAAGATGAAGATGCCGTTAATTCAGTTATATTAAAATGATAATAGGTATGTTCTTAGTAATTTAAGCAACGAAGTAGAAAATTCAGGCAAATAATGGAAATTATCTTTTTCATAAATACAATTGGTTGATGAAACAACGTATTTTAACTTGGATTTTTCTTTTATAAAGTCAATCCATGTTTTTAAACACCCCTCTTCAATTTCATCATTAGGAATATCTTGAGACAATATCGGGTCATCATTATCATTAACATTGTCACTTTCATAAACTTCATCCACTCCTGCTATTGATTGTTTCAAGTATGATTTTGCCGTTTCACTTGCAAGTTCATTATTTTTTTCATCGTGACCTTCAAATAAACTATTTGACGTAATTAAAATATTTTCAATTAGGCTTTCAGCGGTGTTTAAAGAAGTGCACATAATTAGTCTGGACATGAGTTTAAGATAGAATTTTTTCACGGTTGTTTCCTTTCCATTAAAACATTTCTAATTACTCAAAAATGTCATCACATGTGCATAATCGTTTCGAATGAATGTTTTCAGATTCAAATTTGATTGAAACGTTGCTACCGAAAATAACTTATCCACGTACGATTTTAAATTGATTTCTCCTGCTAATGATCTTGTTATAGATCCAACAATGCCATTGAAAGATCACATACAATGATTTTTGGAATTTTTATATTAGCCGACCATTCTGATAACCAATGAGTTATTTGATTAATATTGTGACATTCCGATAATATTTGTGTTACAGGCAACTGGCCACTGAGAGTTCCTGGATGTATAACACCTTGTTATAAAAATATGTGAGAAGATTTGTTTTTATTGGGTTAATTCTTTGACATATTGACCCAGTTGCATCAATGAATAGCTTGCTCATATTGTCATGTTTTACGTATTCATTAAAAATTATAGTTTGAGCAGGAGTCCAATAAAATACATAAAATGGGTCCAATCCAATTTTATGAATAATTGTGTATACATGTTCTTCATACTTTGAACATTACTTGTTAAGTAATGAATCTATACTCGCCATTTTCGGTGAAACGTCTTTAAATTCAGTTTTTTCTTTAAATTATAGCCTAGCCCTCCTTAAGACATCTAAAGAATAAAGGCAGCAATTACTTGAACTTTCTAAAATGTTTTCTCTCCTCCAATTAACTGCCATTTTTCCATCACATAGTCTCTTTGAAATATCTCTTCTCTTTGGTCCAGATAATGGTCTTTTTTTAAAATAAGAATGTTTTTGTTCATTCACATCATTCAATTTTAAATTTAATGTCACATTTCCAAAATCTTGAGGTTTTTTTGGGCATCAAACATTTATTGACGCTTTACATTGTGCACAATAACCTTGGCAGTTGAAATAACAGCTAATATCAGTAACATTTAATGCATGCCTTTTAAACATCCAAACACAAGAAGTTAAAGTATTAAAATCAAGTACTTAAGTTTTTTCTTTGTTTAAATCGCATGTGTTGGACTCCTGTAAAGTCTGTTCTGTAGAATCATCAGTGTCATCACTTTCTGAAAGTACCTCTTTTCCAATAAAGTCTAATAATTCATGACAATTGTAGCGATTATTTTGTATAATTAAATTTAATCCAGGTGGCGAAATTGTTTTATCTAATCTACTACATAAGGATTTACATTAGGGGATCAGTGCTTTTTCCCAAGGCGTTGACAATTTCGGTCTAATAAATTTTCAGAACTTCAAATAAATCATTCTTGTCAATTTTAGACTTTCTCCCAGCCATATAAAACACACGAGAAAAAACTAAACAAGAGTTTCCCGGTATTTACATGTTTAAGTGATAAATCTAACAAGGAAATAATGAAGTTAGTTTGCTTTGAATGTGATACTGTTTTAGTGTCAAAATAGTAACAACATTTACAAATAAAATGAAAAATTACTTTAAAAAATTAACATTATATTTTAAATACATTATTAAATCGTCTGTAAAATCAAATTGGTTTGATCTGTCCCGAAAACTCAAGAAAATGTTGTATAAATAAGTATATTATATCGTAATTTATTTTACTGTTCAACTTATCACAAAAAAATTCAAGTATAAACTTGTTAGTAAAAAAACACGTGTTTTTAATGTTTATATAAATTTAATAAATATATTAATTTTTATGTACATTTATAAAATAAATTTCTGGTGGTTTTGATGCATTCAACTCTTTTTTTAAATAAAATAATAAAATTTAAGTCATTTTATGCATTTGTTTCGTGCATTTTTAAAATTGCATTGTACACCTTGTATATTTTATTAATTTTTAAATTAAAAAGTTTTGTTCCATTATAGTAGTAACAAACCACCTACGATATTAAGTATGGGTATTGAATATAATATTATAGTGGGCACGAAAAATGAGTGGCAATCGCCAAGCGACAGTCTTTCGATAGCTGTAGTTGTCAAATCAGTTATTATTTGTCCGTACTCTTTCGCCCAAAAATGATCTTTCGCTTTTCGCCCAAATATTTTAAGGGGGAATTACCGGTATTATTTTTTTGCTTAAATCGATGAAATTTCTATACCTATGGCTTAAACTATGTTTAACCCTAAACTTGGCGATGTATCTTTTAAGATACATCATATAAGAACTATAATTTTATCGTAAATATAAAATATATTATATTGACCATTATATTTTATAATGTCTTTGGAAGTCCACTATCATTATTGTTACCAATTTACAGCTTTCCGCGCCATACTTTATCTATTATGCTTTATCTAAAAATGTACTATCAGTTGTTTTAATAATTTGAGCTGCTGACTCATTTTTATCTCATTTAATCCATAGCTTTAAAGCCGTTCTGATTCAAAATAATTATTGAAACTTCTTCAGGTACGTCTATATATTTTATTTTTACTCAAATAAAGTTGATCACTTAGTTATTTATTTAGTTACTTTAGCATAAAATATTGTGTATCCAAAAAGACACTGTGCTTTGTAC